CAGGAATGGACAGTTTTCAAAAAATCACTCTCCTCATAGAAAGTTACCCCTGGATTCAACCTATCATCCTTGATGATAATGTAAATCATAAATTAGCGATTTTCGTATTTTAACTGGTAATTTTAGTCTTTTGAAAATTAACACATTGTCCTCATTAGATTTCTACTGGATTTTCCTTTGCTGCCTCTTGGGAACAGAGAAGAACAATTCCCAGCTTGAAATTCTCTCTGTTTTCCTTGAAGAAAAAAGATAATTGTCCCTTCTGTGTCTAATTATTGCTCTCAAAGTGGGATTTGGCTGACAAAATTCAGTGGAAATATTTTCAGCTAGTGGAGAGGTAGCCAAAGAATTCAGAGATGCTTCCCTTTGGGATGGCCAAAAGTCTTTCCTGTTTGCAAGCTGGGTTGACAATTTAAATGTGTTGTAATGTATATTCTTTGTGCAGTTCCCGGCAGCACACCTTCAAAAAGTAGTGCTATGGAGAAATTTTTCTCTGCTGTTGCTTCTTGGGTGCTGTATTTAGGACTAGCTAAACGGAAGGCTTGTCGTCAAGGTAAACGAGAAACGATACTGATACTTCAAAGACTTTATTCTAGAGAATAATATCTCTAGAAACTATTATGTAAATTATATTTAGTTTTCTTTTTGGTTATTAATTCATTTGACAATATAGAACAAAACTAAAAATTACACTGCTGTAAAAAAAAAACACACACAACTGTACAGACGCTTTCTTGAAATGTATTCCAGAACTTCGCAACCATTGTCCGTCTCTCAATAAGCTTTTCAGTGATTATCCATCATAATACATTAATTTGAATATAAGAGCGAAATCCTTGTGAACCAATCAGAAATAAGAGGTATCTCAGCCTTTCCTCAGCTTGTAGCAACACACATTTTACCCTGTTAACTTACTCACAGCAGTTAACTTGGTTCCTGATGCCCTGAATTTTCTGTTACAATCTGTGGCCAAGCCGAATTTAAAGACAATGAAGTGCAGTCAGGAACCATTCAGATCAGTTGAAGTTCAGGCCTGTGTTCCATTTAGAGGTGGATCTCTTCCCAGACTATTCAAGGCCCATAGAAATTCCAGAAAGGGCTTTGGGGACATTAAATTTTAGTCACAGGCAATGTTCCTTCTAAGCTGTGGAGTCTTGTGAGCAAAAATTCTACTTCATGAGCTACTAGCATTAAAGTTCTGAGCAAGCAATTTGGCTACTGCATAAATTAGTTTGCTCTGGAGCCATCCTTCCTGGGCCAAGATAAAAATGTGTGAGCTGGAGGCTTAAAAACTGTGAGCTAGCTCACACTGACTCAGCTTAGAGGGAACACTGGTCACAGGTGGTTGCTGATTAACGCTTGTGAATGAAGATGCTACTTGGGTTACATTTTTATGTCTAATCCATGCTTTACAAAATTCCGGGGGGGAAATCCGATGCTAGAAAGAGAAAAAAAGTTTCCATGCCATTTAAAAATAAAGTACACGTGTGGCTGGTAGAGTGGTCCCACGTACCTTCAGAAAATAACCTACCCAGCAATGTCACGGGCTTTGTGTACTTTTGCTAAATCTGGGGTGCATTCCATCTCCCAAGGCAATTCATTGTCATGCTCAATGTCCTACAGAATTGTCTTTTTAAAGGTCGCTTTTAATAGGTGTTAGATGCAGTTTAAAATTCTACCAACTGATCTTTGTTCTGACTAATTCCGCTCAACGTGTCATCGGAACTTTGAATCATGCCTTTCATGTCAGACCTAGGATTCGCGGGTACAGACTTCAAAAATAAACACTTCCCCATTTTATGCTTGAAATTATTTATAAGTAACACTATGTGAGGTTTTGTTTTAGCGATGTATTACCGAGGTCTTTTGGATTTTAATCCTCTTCTCCTAGACGACTGTAGTTCCTCCACCTTCTCTGTTCTCCATATGTTGCGTTTGGATCTGTGTTCTGCTCAATGACATTCTGAGAGAAGAGAAAATCTGGAGCAAAATTCTGATTCCATGGGGAGGGAAGGAAGCATTAGGTTTGGGTGAAATTCACCTTTTAACTAATCTAAAGAAGCTTCCTTTTGGCTGTATGGCTGGAGCTGTAATGGTGCAGCAGACCTTGCGATTAAGACTCTGCCGCAGATGTCTACAAATATATGTTTTGGGTGAAGCAGTTTCAACATGAGCGGCTCTAAATTATGGTTGGTTTATTTCTCAAGCAAACGTTCAGAAATGGATGATTCAACCATCACTAAATATTGCTTCACCACTGTTAAGACTCCGTGTCTCTCATAAAATCATTCCTCCACGTTCAAAAATATTGCATAATTCTCCAGCCTTGGTTATTTATCTACCTGTTGGTTTATTTCTCAAGCAAACGTTCAGAAGTGCATGATTCAATCATCACTAAATATTGCTTCACCACTGTCATAAAATCATTCCTTCACGTTCAAAAATATTGCATCATTCTCCAGCCTTGGTTATTTATCTACCTGTCCATTTATTCATTCTAAAATCCTGAATGCCTGTTTTGTTCACCCAGGGGGGTACTTTTTAAATGATGAAATAACGGCGTGGCTTTATGTCTTGCTGAACCGTTTGAATATTTTCAAGAATAAAATGAGTCACGAACAGACAGACTGTCCTGGGTGATTGCTCCTTAAAGCAACTGAAAGGACAAAAAAAACAAATTACTGGGTGTCCCCCCCCCCCCCGGTTTAGTGGTTCTGTAGCGGGGCTAGCCAGAACTTTTGGTAACCTCTTGAGTTAGGCTTGAGGAACTCTTGAATACCAACTGTTTCCTACATAAGCTGCTCTGAGGAGATGCCCTTGGTCCAAAAGAAACGCTTCTATCCCTCATCTGTTGATGCAGCAAGTCAAAATAACACAAGAGGGGGGTTTTTTTGGGCTAACCTGAAAGAACTTGCCAGGTGTTCGAGGTTTTCTATTTGCATATGACTTCAACATGATCTGTGCTTGAGGTTTTGTTTTTGGCTCTTAAAAAAGTATTTCTTGGAAGTCATCGTTGAAAGCTTTACATAAATTTAAATACTGAGAAGTTTAACGCCAAAAATAATGCTTTTAAAAAAAAAAAGATTTTCAATCTAGAAGTTTGCGGCGAGGTTTGGATAACTCAAAAGGTCCTGGCTAGTACCCTGCAGCTTAAAGTGATGATTCATGTTATCCGTGAAAGATGGCCACTTTAGGTTTAAAAGTTATCATTGTGTCGGCACAGAGACATTGACATTAAAACGCATCTGTAGCTACTTCAATTAAGAGCCTTTGAAAAGATTTATTCCCTGATCCTAAACATATATTTATATGAAAGCAAGTTCTGCTGGGTTTTAATAGAATTTACTTTAAAAGGGGTGGTTAGCATAGCTTTTGAGATTCCTAGCTAGATGAATTCGAGGAGTATTCTTTGACCCGACACTGTGTTATCT